TATCTATCTATCTATCTATCCATCTATCTATCTATCTATCTATTTAGCTATCTATCGTATCGTATCTTTTCTTATCTTTTCTTATCTATCTATCTATCTATCTATCTGTCGATCGATCTATCTATCTATCTATCTATCTATCTATCTACCTATCTATCTATCTATCTCTCTATCTTTCTATCTATCTATCTGTCTGTCTGTCTGTCTATCTATCTATCTATCTATCGATCTATCTACCTATATATCTATCTATCTATCGATCTATCTATCTATCTATCTATCTCTCTATCTATCTAATACACACAAATTTTCCTGATCAGTTATTCCGTGCTCCAAATATTGACTGAATGTATCCTAAAATTATTTGGATACCCGCAATGTGTGACGCCAAAATAAAATACCTAGGTGCAATAAGCGACACGACTGCTCACCAGACATGCACATTTTGAGGAGGCGAAATGGATTACACTACTTAATGAATATCTGATGCGCAAATGATGTCAAGATGTCAACATGGCAAGTGATTATTCATTAATAATGGACCTGCTGATGGAAAAACTGTGGTTCTTCCAGAGACGTCTGCCATGGCTGTGGTTGTTTCAAGCGTTGCTCGGTCAGAGGCTTGGCCACGGCCTTTTCCATCCATTGAAACATCATTTCTGCAAGCTGAACCACCAACCATTCATGATAGCACAATTCTTCAGGCTTACGAAACTTTCGTAACTAATCATTTCAACACCTAAACCCTTTTCAGTAGTTTCTTCATCAGTACTTCATCAACCGGTACTCGCATGGCCCGAAGGTATGAAGGACGGTGCGCCCTGGCCCGAGCTTTCTGTCGTTGCTCAGAGTGTACGTGGGTGGAGGAGGCAACAGAAAACGCAAATCATTGATGTTTATTCCTTTGTACATAGAACTCATAGAACATCCTTTCAAAGGAAACTTGATACAACATGGAAGATTACAGTAACATGCCTGTTCAGCAACGGCTGGTTCAATGTCCATGTCCATGTGGGCCATTTGTGGACGCTACTAACACGTACTTCCGGGCGCAAGAACTGTCACTGCCAGACGATTCGGCATGGTCAGCACAAATAGGTTCAATGATTTAATGACTAAGAAAGGTGTGAGATTAAATGTCCAAACAAACATCGACACCGGATGAGATGGGTAGTTGACAGTTAATTGGAGAATACAAATTAAATACCACGTTTTGTTGATCCACGGGTCGGTTGAGAGACCGACAAAATATCTTTCAGATCGGGCAGAGTTCAATAGTTCAATGGGTGCTCAGCAGAAACACTGGGCTCAAAACTACGTATGTTCCCCAAGCATTGCATGATTTGTCCAGCTTTGTCATGGTCAGATGTGTGGCCCTTATGCGCTATTCCCAATGTGCCAATGGTTTAACTATCAGCCTCGCCTTCCAAAGTGTTTCAATCTGAGGACACTTGAGGTATCCCCGTTTGTTTTTTTCTTATTGTGGATGGTTGCGAAATCCTGCGCCAGTTGGTAGATGGTAAACATCCCATTATAGTCATAGTCCCAGTTTGTCCCACGACTTGGCAGGATGACTGTGATGCCTCACTCAGTGGCATTTGGGTTTACATTATTTAGAGTGAAGTGCGGATCAGTCTAACCCATCCCAAGCAGAATGAGTAGTATTTGTCTATTTGTATATGACATGCAACATACTCTATGTTTATATACACTGCAACAAATGTACACAATGTATTTCTGTGTATATACATATATACATATATATATACTTATACGATCTTATGTATATATGTATATAATGTCAACCCCGGATTGATAAACCCCTAGGCTGTTTAATTGGGAGGGTAACAACTAAGTATTAGATTATGACTATTGGAGGAGTACCCCCTTAATTAATAAACCATGTTTTATTAATCCGGAGTTGACATTATGAAATAACATATATATAGTATATACAATACATGTAACATATATATTGTAACATGTAAGTATTTAGATATGACAAAGCGGTACATGTTTCAATCAACTGTTGTGGCCCACCAAACACTACAAATCCTACCCCTGAGGTTTTCATGGCTATTGACATCCTATTTGTTTCTTGCCAGCGAATTGAGCAATATCAGGGGTTGTTCACCTTCATAGCCTGCCAGGAAAATGTTCAGTCCAGCTGCCCCCCCCCTCCCCCCGCGTTTAGGTTCGTTGGAAATGTCATGTCCATCTTTTGTTTTGATTCAAGATCAGGGCATCACAATTCTGTATTGCTTTGTCTTGTCATTCATTCCCACATGGGTGGGATTAATTAGCGGATTGTTTGAGGGCATGGTCTATTTACCACTAGCGCTGGATGATGATTTTATGATGGACCAACGCATGCTACCGTGGCATTTGTCTTGGTGGATAGTGGGACCTGTGTTCAAAAGGTCAGCTGGCATATGAGAATGAGTCAATATGGGATGCCAATGGACATGAAACTGTTCACCCTTGTTGGTTTTATAACCATGTTTCCGTGCCAACATAGTTTTGGATGTTTTGGTACCCAGTTCTGACATATTTTGACTGGACTCTGATTCACAGTGATTTGTTTAAGGGATATCCAGATATCCATATGAAGCATTTGGGTGATATGACTCGAACATGTGAAGCTATCACCCTACCGAACTCACTTCGAAATAGGTTGATCTTTCCAGGTTGGCCCATGCATAAGTGGTTCATTTCATCACTTGTCACTGTTTTTTTCTAGAAAAGAGGTGTGTTTCTCTATGTTCCATCTCTGGGTCCATTTACGACAGGTGGTGATCTTTTTTCTGGAATGGTGTGTGTGCGAGTAGCGCTGGACAGGCATATGGCTGGGGCCATGGCTGTCACCATAGATCTCACATTTTTCATGGCAACAAAACAAACTGGTTGGTGGTTTGGAACATGGCTTTTATGACTTTCCCATCATATTGGGAATGTCACAATTTTTCCAACTGTCGAAGTCCATCATTTTTGAAAGACAGTGGGCCCAATCCGTAACCTGCTGATGGTTTTTCACATGGCTTTTCATCGCGGGAGCTGGTGAATCCTCTTTGGATGCATTGGTATGGATCAGTAGGTCGCACTTCTCCGATGAACCGGGCTGTAGGAAAGCCGAATTGCAACATCGCTCAAAGTCACAAAAGACTTGGGCTAATTTTAAGTGTATATATTTAGTTATATATTTATATATATATGTATATATGTTCACTAAATAATCATATGTAATAATGTAAATGAAAGTACTCTCAGGTAATTTTACCTGGCAAAGGTCAATTCCCAAAGAGACAGGGCAAAGCCTCGCGAGCGGTTGAGTGGTTGACAGTCAATAGTTGGCAACATTGTTGGAAGCCAGAAAAAAGTTTGTCCTATAAAAAAAGATACAAGTGAGGGTATCCCGGATTGTTCATTTACTGTATTGTCTATATAATGTAATATGTAGTACTTGGATAAACGATGAAATTAATTGACTGATCAGTGAATGGAGTACAGATGGGGATATAGTATGATATAGCGCGCTATAATCCCCAGTGAACCAATCAGATCAGTTATATAGATAAGTCCATGGCCATATGAGTAACTGATGTTTTTTTCAGGGTTGCTCCACCCTATTAGATGCAAATGATAGCCAAAACAGAGGAAGATTGGTAATGCTGCCTCTTAACCTACCCAATTTCTCCACCCCCAACACGTACTGTATCTGGGGTGGCGGGAGCAACATTGATCATATCCGTTAAATCCATTGAATCAATGTATCATTGTCGACCACCCATTTAGTTTGATGATTTTCCCATTAAAATCTCCTTTGCAATGTCCATTATATAATCATATTTACATTTCCAGCATATTATATGAGCATTCAAAAATCTTTGACTAAACCCCCCATGAAATCCCAAGATTGAATCATGAGTCATTGAACTAATCCAGCAAAATCAAAAGTGCTTTAATTATTGATTGTATCATATGAATTAAAACAACAATTCATCAATGATATAATAATATATATACAGTATATGTATACATAGACTATATAGATATCTATTTAATCTAGCAAACTCATTGGCAAGCATTGCTTCAAACCTTCGTTAACACCTAACTTTTCCATTTTAAGGGGGCTTAACAAAAATGAGTTGAAAGACCCAAGTCGTGAGGGTTTCTCGACATCTCTTGGGTAAAAACTTCGAGCCACGTCCGGAAAGGTGGAAGTTTTTACACGATTTGGCCAATGTATTGGACACCTTCTTGGTCTTCGCTGGCATCGTATCTGGGAGTCCTTGCTGGGTCTCGTACCGGGCGTCATCCAAGAATGGGCCTCGTTAGAGGGTTATATAAGCAACAAGAATGCGGGGTTAACCAAACCAACTATGAACGAATTGGAGGGTAATAACAAACATCAATGGGGGGTTAACTTTCAAAAATGGCTTTACCATGATTTGACCATCCTGAAATGGGGATATCTAGCTAATAACATATTCAATAGCCCCTATGGTTGAATCCAACAGTAAACCATTAGGGTTTATCATGGTTTATCTCTGGATTTGTGTTGAATGATTGACCAGCCCATGGTGTACTAGTACCGCTCGTTTTTTTTTAGGACGATTGTTGCCCTCCAGCGATAATCTGGTAATACGCCTCTCCCCAGCACTGTATCATGGAAGTTCTTTAGGATGCTGAAAGGCAACCCTCAACAATAGGAGCTTAAGCACCTAACAGGGGTGGTGGAGGTGGTGATCAACCCAGAAACATAAGGCCTAGGTTCCATTGAAATCCATTGAAGGAGGACAGTGTTTGATGGAAATCAGATATCCACTGGTTTCGTATGGGCTCTCATCCCCATGTCCTCAGGTCCTCTGTTCAAATGTGGTTTTCATCCCTGGCCCCAAACAGCTCTCTTTCATGGCAAGGCACGTACAGTCCGGACCATCCGGGGGTTCCACAAATGGGCACCCTCTGGTTATGACAAACATAGCCGTGGAAAATAGCCCATTTATAGATGGTTTACCTAAGTTTACCTGTTAAGAATGGTGATTTTCCATGGCTATGTTAAATAACCAGATGGTACCCCATTTCAAGAAAACTCCATTAATGGTGCCTTGAAGCATATAGTCAGACGACGCGGCTCTGAGGTTGATGTGACCATCGGTTTAGTCTTGGTTGATGGACCCTGGGCAGCAGTGAGGCGATGGACCCGCCGAAGATGGACTGACTTCTTGGTTATGAAATAATGGGGTGGGGGGGCTACTAACGTTCTGTTGCCTTGCGTTCTTCCAACACGATCTAAGATGCTATACTCTTACCTTTGCCAAGTGATTTCCAAGTCGCTCTTGATGCTCTGCTCTTAACTTTCTCAAGTAGCTTCCAACACGCTCTTGTTGATACACACTTAACTTTCTCAAGTACCTTCCGACACACTCTTGATGATACACTCTTAACTTTTTCAAGTATATAACTTCCAACTCGCTCTTGATGCTACACTCTTAACTTTCTCAAGTAACTTTCAATGCGGTCTTGGTCCTACACTGCTACATTCTTAACTTTCAAAAAAAACATTCAGCACGCTGTTGATGCTACGCTGTGAACTTTGCCAATTAACTGCCAACACGCTGTTGATGCTACGCTCTTAACTTTCTCAAGTAGTTTTCAACGTTCGGATATGCGGGGTTGCACAGGAATCAGTCACATTGCGCAAAGATCTGAAGAAGTGAAACAGAAATCAAATTTGCGCGCCTCAGTAGCCCCACATTTCCCGCGCTACATCGCGCTACGGATTTCGATCGAAAATCACGGGGATCTCTGACTGAGTTGAAATATGCACAGCTGCTAGCATGGTTGTCTCCCTGTCGGGCTATCTATGTTAAATTAGGATTACGTTTCGCAAGGGGTTACATGAGTCTATTATTATATTTTACATACAATGATTTTTTGAAGCTGACACAAGGTATATGATATAGGAAAGTTATTTGTGCTAAGTGAATATTACAGATATTCCATGATATTACGAGACATAGGGTCATCTAATAGTACAATAGAGAATGACCACGCATGTCAAACTTCAAAATCCCTCTCCTATCATGACATGTCGCTTGGCTTGACTCCAGCATAGTCAAAAGTTATTGCTGAGTCTTCAGTGATTTATCCGCCAGATGGGGCGTGGGTGCTGGTGCGGCTGCTGGGTGTGGCTGCAAGATGTCTATGGGCGCTTTGGAGCCTGGGCGCTTGTGCTGCTGCAGGGAGCGCAGGGTGCCGCAAGGCATCCCACTTAGCAAAAATGTGAATGGGACTGTGGTCGCGTAGGCAGAAGTTCCGTTTCCAGACTTCCAAAAGCTGCCGGGAGTGTGACGGCGTAGGCGAATAAGTACGCTGCTGCATCGTTTTACACGGGCGTTGGCCCTGCGTAGGCACACCTTCAAAGGCATGATCCGCGTAGGCTCCCACTGTGGCCGCGTAGGCATTGCGTAGACAGTGGCGTAGGCAAAGCAGGAGTATAAGGGCCCAGGCATCAAAAAAAACACAGCTCATGTGGAAAAGTTGGTTCGTAAAGGCCTCAAAATGTGGATAAACATGAATATTACTATAAATACACCATGCAAACTTGCACATGAGCCCATTACAATCAAAACAACGCGCGTGGGTATCTACAGGCCCGACTTGTCCTAAAATAGGGGTACCCCCAATTATCCAAAATGAGACCATTTTAGTATTGACACACATGGTTTTGGGGAACCATCATTTCCGGAAACACCAGTTTCCTAACGAGGATGTACCATTGAATGTAAGTGTAATATGTATTATATATTGTGTAATCATATAATGTAGAAAAGTCTGCATACACATGGATATGTACCAAAGAAATGCACCAAGCGAAAAAGCAGTTGGTACAGATGTGTTCCCCACCAAGTTTAAGGGCGGAAGATTTGCATAAGACAACTCATCAAGTCAAATGGCTCAAATTGACATGAGTAAGACCGGAGAGTAGATTTTTTGTAGGAGCTGCAGATCCAGAAGATGTGCTTGTCCATGGGCATTTCAATCAACATTCAACAGTCAAAATCACAGAAAACATCTGGAGATACAAAGAAAAGAAACTACATAATATATATGCATTATAAATATAAATTTGTGTATAAATACAACATTTCTACTCTTGAGGGTTGAACACATGGGGTTGATGTGAGATTCCAAGTGTAGGGACCAAAAGCAGCTGGGGGGCTGAGGACCCACCGCCAGCCGGAATTTGATGCTTCTGCGGTTGATGCGCGCAATGAAGTCTTTGCGAGCCATTCGAATGGTGCGAAGCAGCTTGGCCTTGGTGCTGGGACCACATGGCATTTTTACAAGTTATAAGTCGGTGAAATAGCACCATTTATCGAGTGATAATAGCACCATTATCACCATTCAATTTACAACCATTTATTTAACCGCCTTGGGTGTGTTCCGCCAGCCATCATGGAAAGAGCTATCCTGCAAGCCGCAAACAGCTTGCACAGGCTCAGCAAGATCATTTTTTTGTGTAAAACATGGTGTTTAATGTGTATAACACGGTTTTGGTGTAAAAAACAACGGTTTTGTTCAAACCACGGTTTAAGTTTAAACCAAAGCATGTGTGTAAGCCAGGGTATTGGAAAAGGCCATATTGAGAAAGGTTTTGGACAAGGCCATAGCCATATTTAGCAAGGTTATGCGTGTAAAAGGTGTTCGGCACAAAAGCCAGTGGATCAAGTACTGGATTTCAGATCCAACGGAGCAAACCGATGGCAAGCACAACAAAGACAGGCGGAAACAACCTTCGAAATGACAGCACGATGTGCAAAACCAAGCGGGTGTTGAGCGAGGCGTGGGCAGAGTTGAGCCCAGCACAACGTAAGGAAAGATTAAGACGAAATGAAGATGAAGAAGAGCTAGGGGGGGGAGGAGCAGGTTCAAGTTAGACGAGGCAAAAATCCGCGCCAAGGGGAAAGTCTAGACAAAGACAAAGACAAAGACGAAACAGACAGTACAACTATGAACAAGCAAGATCCACAAGACACACCGGCAGGCTGGCAGATAACTGGAAAAGGACTCTAAATGCAGAGAGTTAGAATCCGGAGAAACTTGGAGAGTTAGCACGATTGGACCAACCAAAGAATTCAGCAGCTGCTGACGGGCTTGTACCCAAATCCCAATGGTTTACAATCATTTTTATTTCCTGTTTAAACTTCCCATCTTCGGGCATTCCCAATCTTCAGACACGCCCATGTGTTTCATACATTTGTAGCCCCGTTTCCGCGAACAGCCGGTGAATATTCAATTTTAGGTGATTCTTGAGATGGCCCCCGAATGGATGGGTGACGTTGCAATGTAGGATTGCTATAATGTCAACAAGGGATCAAAGAACCTCTGGGCTACTGACCATTGTGGGCATACCATGAAAGTAAGTATCAGAAGACATCACAATTTGGCAGGAACCACCTATAGCGACGGACATGCACTTAGAACATACTTTGGAAAAATCTGAAAATCTTCACAGCGGGGATGTTCTAAGTATGGATTTCAAAAAAGTAGTTAGAACATACCCAAAACCTATACTTAGAACATTTCCAAGCTATACTTAGAACATCCCAGTGGGGAACCAATGGGAACCATACATATGTGTATGTTCGAAGTGCAAGTCCGTCGCTAATTATATATATATACACTATATAATACTATATATATATATATATATTTATATTTATACTGTATTGAAACCTATGCTTTTTGACTACCCCCTGTAGGAAACCCACAAATTACTAGAGACCTTCCCATTGCAGCAAAGACTGCTTGGGATATTGTTCCCGAAGAAAAGGTATATAATGCTTCAGCAGTGAGGGGAGAAAGTGTTCTAAGTATGGTGTTCACCAAGGTATTTGTGTGTATATATGCAGATTTACCAAAGTAACAGGACATGTTCTAAGTATATGTGTGTTTTAATGTTCTAAGTATGCAAAAATCAAAGGAGATGTTCTAAGTATCTGTTTTTTTCTGATGTTCTAAGTGAATACTTAGAAATATTTTTGATGTTCTAAGTATGGTAATTTTGATTTTCTAAGAAGAGGTTCCGATAGTTTGGAAAAATTGATGTTCTAAGTATATGTCGGTCGCTAAAATACAGATCAACCCGGGTAACTACAGTAACAATCGGGGGTTTACCTATGTTTCGGGATGTTTTGAATTGGGCACGTTTGAGGCCTCCATGTGCAGAAGAAGACGACCTGCTTTGGTTCCAGTATTTGCCGTTTCAAAACATGCTTCTACCAACTGAATGATATTATTACATATTTTTACCTGGTGTGTATTCAAAAAAGCTTTGGGTTCGAGGGGTTGTTGTACCTATAGCTGTTGTCAGAAAGTTGGCGTTGGGCTAAAACAGTTGTGTTGAGTTGTTTTCACGTTTGTTTTGACAACAAGTGGGTGGTTTTATGCAGCTGTATATTTTATACTGTATACTATATACTGTACATAGGCACACACATTTGTACATTCGCAATGAAAAAAGGCTCTTGAATGGACCATACCCATCAATAGCAATAATAACAAGTGCATGTGTAATTAAATATATATATATATATGATGGCGTAATTTCCACCCATTTGGGTCAATGATCTCAATCAAGTACTTTTGTTGAGGGAATGAAACCAGCAATCAGGATTGCATTTGGATATAATACCTTCGATTGGCTGGATTCAAGTTTGGTTGTTTGGGGACAAAGTTTTCTCACTACACATAATTTTACTCGTTTAATAGGGAATGGGGGAATGGGATCATTGTTTATATAGTGTATCATGGATCATTCCCGATTCCCTACTCAGCACCAGTAAGTGATCCTGCCACTGTACTGTTGCAAGCCTTTCGAAGTTTCGAGGCCTACGTTTCTTGCGTGGTTTGCGTGTCTTAGTGTCTGGGCTGCTTCACACACCTCAAACTTTGGCTCAGGATACGGTGCGGTACATGAGAATGTTAATTTCGAATGACTTCTGGGAATGGTTTTGTCTCCAAGATATCTCATTTTGTCGAACTCTTAAATGATTTAAATGGGGAAAAAGGATGATACACATAAACCATGTGATGTTTTTTGTGCTACTACTACCAAGTTGGAGACAACCCAACATGGGTATAGTCAGTCACAAACACCCACCAAGTTTGGTCACATCATTTTCGGTAGAAAATCATGTGACTTTACGACGTTGCACAAGGCTGACCAACAACCGATGGAGGTAAGAAGGCATCACAGTGTTAGTGCCGGTGCGTGACACCCTAGTCAAACTCGGATTACAGATTGTGGCAGTGGAATGTGTCAAAATGACATGATAGTGTACAGATGTGTAATATCAGTGCAGCATGCAGAAACATATTTTCAATGTCAATTCCAAGGCAAGATGTTCAATGTGTTGGGTTTTCGGTCCCATTGTCTTGAAGGGGACTTACAAAACCACCAAATGCCGGATGTTTCCTTCATTCGGTTTCGCTGCTTCGTTGCTTGCACTTATCATTGGACCGTTACCGACAAGTTCAGATCCAAATGAGGACAACGGGTCACCATCCACAATGATTCGATGATCTGCAATGTTAGCAAATCTTCCCGGTCCAACCCCTTCCAACTGGGATATACTCTCCCAGCTTCCCAGCTGCATAGACATACTTGCTATGTACTTGAAGGCATCATCCCATGTTGTTGGTCACCTCGACCTATGATTCACTGGGGAATTTAGGTTGGTGGTTCGGATCATTCTTGGGAAGTGCTGGGTATTTCTCGGCCCTAAACTGGTATCTGGTGGTATGCCACCACTGGGCACCCACAGATCCACAAAGTTATCCATCTCAGGCTACATAGACTTAGAACTAGCTCTTGAAATCCCCTAAGGTCAAAGCATGTCAATGTTTTTTGCCCTCGCTCTGCTGGTCCATGGTTTTGCTGGGGATTTTCATGTCCATGGGTGCGCTGGTTTTAGGCTTCTTGGCGGGGAGGGGAAGAAGGGCAGGCCAGGGTTGACACATGGCACAGCTTTGCATAGTTTGAGTAATGACGGGTTTCTAGTGGGAACAAAGTACAAACATCATTTGTCAATGTGAATAATTAGAATGGGGACATGCCATGTGTTTGGTTAACCTCCATGATTTGGGAAAACCGGGGCCCCCACAACTACGGTAAAATCTTTCCAATTAGAACTAGAACTGCGCCCGCAAGTGTGCGTGTGTGTGAGTGAATCCCGCTAGGCTTCATGCGGGTGCGCATTTTGAATTGTTGAAGTTTGAACCTGTAAGTATCATGAATTGGCAGGGGGCCAGGATATGACATCACGACGCTGGCCAACGAAGCTAGTGACTAGCAGGGGAAGCCGTTGGAGACGTCTAACCACGTACCTGCTCAAAAAGCCGTGCAATTTCCCAAGCCGGTACAGTCAGGCTGTTGCAGGTTCACAGGAATCGATAACCATATTCAATACATGTCAATACCATGTTGCTGTCAGGACTCAGGACGATCTCGTAGGAATCATCAATGCGTTGACAACTTCATCATTAAAAAGTTCCTTCTCAGAGTAATCTGCTTAATCTGTCCATCAGTGTGTGAAACGATGTCTTTATTATTTGGATAGTGGAGAAACCGGAAAAGTCTGCATCTTTTTAAACGAATTTTCTCAGCGCGTTTCCCCACCTGCCAGGTGAGGGTTGTTAGATTTTATCAGAGCGCTTGCCCGCCGCATCTTCCTCCTCCTCCTCCTCGACTAGCTGTCCTCTTCCTCCTCGTCCTCCTCCTCGCCTCCTCCTCCAGTTTCTCCTCGACCATGTCTGCATCAGCTTCCACCTCCACTTCCGCCTTGCCAACTCGTCGCCAAGCTCTTCGCCAACTTCCCAGCTCAGTGCGCACTGCTGGACCTCAACCTGGGAGCTCCCCAGCTCAGTGCGCACCGCTGGACCTCAACCTCGGACGTTCCCAGCTCAGTGCGCACCGCTGGACCTCAACCTGGGACCTTTCCAGCTCAGTGCGCGCCGCTGGACCTCAACCTGGGACCTTCCCAGCTCAGTGCGCACCGCTGGACCTCAACCTGGGACCTTCCCAGCTCAGCGCGCACCGCTGGACCTCAACCTGGGACCTCCCCAGCTCAGTGCGCACCGCAGGACCTCAACGGCCAGATAGAATGCCAGAAGATATGCCAGATAGAATGTCAGAAGGTATGCCAGATAGAATGCCAGATAAAATGCCATGAGATATGCCAGATAGAATGCCAGAAGATACGCCAGATAGAATGCCAGAAGATATACCAGATAGAATGCCAGAAGATATGCCAGATAGAATAGAATGCCAGAAGGTATGCCAGATAGAATGCCAGATAAAATGTCAGATAGAATGCCACAAGATATGCCAGATAGAATTCCAGAAGATGTGCCAGATAATATGCCAGATAGAATGCCAGATAGAATGCCAGAAGATATGCCAGAAGATATGCCAGATAGAATGCCAGATAGAATGCCAGAAGATATGTCAGATAGAATGCCAGAAGATATGCCAGATAGAATGCCAGAAGATTTGCCAGATAGAATGCCAGATAGGATGCCAGAAGATTTGCCAGATAGAATGCCAGAAGATATGCCAGAAGATATGCCAGAAGAATGCCAGAAGATATGCCAGAAGATATGCCAGATCATATGCCAGAAGATATGTCAGACAGAATGCCAGAAGATTTGCCAGTAAGAAAATGCATAAATGTTTAAATGTCATGGTGGGGACCACACGAAGTAAAGTATTTTTTCACGCGAAGGTTTAGAGTTGGTCTACTTATGAGTTTCTAAAGTGGGAGAGGCCAGGGTCACGCATGGATTGCAAATCGATCTGGCAACGACTATGTATGTTGCATTGCCATTTGACGTGAGTGGAAACTGATGCGTATATATTTTTAGAATAACATATATGTACATCATTGTGTCTGTGTGTTTGTATGTGTGAAAATTTTTCTATCTTAGCATTTTGACTGTTCACGAAGATGCAAACACAACCAACAGCATAAGTGATAGAAACAACCGCTTGCACTGTAGTCGCCGTAGGATTTGCAAATCGTTAGAGTAGATGGCTATATCATGCTTGACTGGGAGCTCATTGTCCATGATCTTGAGGCAGTGTCAAATAGATACGGTGCATGAGACATTTTGGACGTGTTTGAAAATGGTTTTATCCCTTGTTGATGGGGGCAATTCCGCTTCCACGGTTCCTTTACGTAGAGGAGAAACCATCATGCCAACTGCTTGTGGAGAATTGCAGGACACTACTGTCAAGGATGTTTCTGATCTGAGTGTTTCATTGGTGAGGATTCCATGGAACACTAGGTTTCCACTATCCCACCGAGACGGTCCCTACAGTTCACAAGGTTTCATGGTTTTATAATGCAGAGGTGCGTCTCCATTTATCTTGCACCATGATCATGGTGTAAGTATGTTTTGGACACGGGGTGTATATATGGGAATAATCCAGATACATACTCATATCCAGATCATTGTTGCTAAACAGTTTCGGTTTAAGTCCACCATTGGTTGGCGGTCGATCACTGATTTTGGTGGCTTATGGCTCTCCATATTCCATCATATTCCAGACTTACTTGTTGAGGGCCCCCATTGTCTTACCATGGCTATTTTTGAATACCCTGCCCACGGCCATATATGAGCAATAAGTGGTTTGCAAACTATTGAAACAACAGCCCTTTATCAAGAATCAAGATCTTAACAACATATTTACACAAACTGTTCAACAATGGTTGAATCTCAATGGAACAAGCCATGCAATCAACACTTCTGTGTTTGCTGTTTTATCCGCATATGTTTGTTTTGTCGATCACCCAAACTGGCCATGCTTACAATATCTCGGAGGAGCTGTTGCAAGGTACCCTAAACCACCAGGTACTGAGGCGCCATTGGCATCCATCTTGCATGGTTCTACCTTTTCTACCTTTGTATTCTACCTTTGTATACGGTTGCCAATTTTGGATACTTATCCATACCAATTATATACGGTAGTGTGGTAAACTCAATCATAAGCCAACCCCAAAATCACCATGTTATTGGGTTTACCGTTTACCACTATATATTAAATTGTATCCGATATCCTCTTCATTGAACCACCCAAAATGTGACAGGTTTCTTTCCCCATGCAGCATCCCCCAAATTAACAGAGACCTTGAGCATCACAGCAATAAGGAAGGTAACCACAGGTCGTCTTCCAACCCCAACTCATGGCAGGGTCGAGCCTTGCTCGTTGGTTCTCAAGCCATGGATACCAAGGCAATATGCTTCACTCCTTTGTTTCAGATCAAGGGATGATCTTCGAAGACCGTGCTTGGATCTGGGAACGCTATGGCACAGCCTACCGCGCCCTGCCTTCAAAGGCTCTTATGATATGGGCTTAAATGTGGCTTGAGATTGTTCAATACAGGGACGGTAGGCCATCAAGCTGGTGGTTAACATCGTTTTAAACTACTTTAATTTCAAACATATATGTTTTGATTTCTGTGCATATTTGTTTGTTATAGCTATTTGAAAACATGGCGAATTTTATATGAAGTACTCATATTCAGAAATGTGTTAAACCAAAAGTAAACCTCCGATTCATTTGGATGGTTGGAGTTGGAACCTGACCCGTTTCTGGTCAAATGGTTGATGGTTCATGTATGTTTTGGGGTGTACCACACAACCTTCATACGGGATTCCAAATGAATCTATCCCAGGGTATTGCATATCGAAGGGATTAAGGGGTTTCCTAATTGGCTCATGTTGCTTTTTCCATGGAGGAAGATCACAAGGAGTATTCGCATGGGAACCAGAAAGCCATTGGGCAATGTAGGGAAGATGAAGTGCCAAACCCCTAGCTCTAAGCGGATGTTCTGCATGGACATCATATGGCGGATGATTATGAGTTGTGGCTCCTCTTCATTCAGGACTTACCTCGTTGATGGTTGATTGCCACATCCATTTGCACATCAAAAGTGGCGTCTGGAATCAGAATAATTTTCTCAATCTCGTTGTTGCAGCGATGTACTCGTACATTTAGCCTTCATCATCGAAACAATATGTTTTCATGTGCCATATGCAAGCAAAATGAAGGGATAACTTCATATAACTTCCTGATATCGACAGGGCAAAAAGAAGCAAGTAGGTTTGGTGCCAACACACTTTGACCTTTTTCAGAGTGGCCACCAAGGAGCGATGTACACCCTTTTTGAAGCTTGGATGCTGACTCGGTGTGGACTAGCCGGCACCAGGGCACCATTTTGCCACCGATATATTAAAGGTGCAGGGTCAGGTTCAAGTACTGTCTGTAGGAAAACAATGGAAACAGTATATCCATGAATGAGCAAAGGGATTGGTTCTAACCAACATGCGTCGACTACAATAGTGGTTCATATGAGCGGAAAGAACAGTGCTAAGCTTGGAAACCCATGAAGGAAGCCCCCCAATGGTTTCCAAAAGGACACCACTGGTGTTTTCCCCTACATCTAATTTCCACTTTGGGATCCACTACACTTTCAAAAACATGACAGACCCGGTTGATGTGCGTTGGGAAGTTGCTACCGCGAATCACAACTGCTCGCATGCTTGCCAAATGTGGGCCGCCAACCTTCAGTCATGGCCAATGAAAGCAGCGGTCCTTGAAGATCAATGTGCCGGACAACTCTCTTCTCGATGACCCTACCTAGACTTGGTGCAGGTACGCATCGGCTTGTTTTCATTGAGTCGTTGGAGGAGTGTCAGACCAAAATATTCATGCACATTTTTGCAGCTTGACGTCAGTTCGTATCTGGGTTCGAAGCCCACAGCTGTCACTTTGACATCAAAATACTAATTGTGAGGTCCCTTAGGGCTTCGGAGCAGCATAGACTTTTAGGCCGCAGCTGCCCTTGAGCTTTTGGCAAGAGAATGAAAACAATTCCGCTGAAAGCAGATTGAGAACCACGGTGCTGAGTAGCGCCATTTATGTCATGCCCCACATTGGAATCCTTTTGGGGAACACCTGATAAAATAGAAAAGAGACAGAGAGGATTAGCACGGCTCCCACGCAAGGATAGCATGCACAAAATGAGAAGTGCAACATGTTTGTTTAGTTTTGGTGTTCAACAAAATGTCCTATGAACAGATGTAATGAAGGTATAGGTGTGCCGGTTTGCTTGCCACGTGGAAACAGACAAAAGACTTACTTTGTAGCAAGAGCCCAGTGTGTACCTTGAGCCAAAATGGCTACGGTGCCCAGAAAGGTGCGATGGCTTTGAAGTCAGTGGGCATACAAGGTAAATCTTGACTGGGCACCTGCCCTTGGAAGAACCGAGGGCGATTCAGGGCGCTGCTTGGGGTCAGGCGCTTATGCAACGGTGCAGGGGCCTGTAAGTGGCTTCAAACAGAGTGTCCTAACCTTTCTGTTCTGGGACAAACTGGACCCCGAGAAATGTTTTGTGGTAATGCTAATGGGAATTCTTCACAATTGTTGGGCGGACGCTTTTTAGTGCAACACTTTCCCAGTTAATGATGAAGACTTTTTTGTGTGTCATCCGGATTCTATCCCTCACTTCCAACCTAGCCCTAGTTTGGATCCAATCAACTGAAGAGAAAGCTGCTATGGATATGATTCACGAAGTTCCCGTACCACATGTTTGGCAAGCCAGTTGGTTGACCATCCTCCCCCAAAAAGCATTGATGAGACTTGTACAGCTGCATGCCTTCATTGAAATACTTTGCTCTTGGCCTTCCAGTGAACCCATGTGGAAAATGTGCTTTATTTTGAAACGTTGAATCCAATTCGTTTTTTTTGTTTCATTCATTCCCAAACCACGGGAGAATTTTTGGCCTAGTCCTTTTGACATGACACCAGTTCCTACTGTATCGGCAGTATTTTGTATCGTGTGTAGTCATCTTAGGGAGCGACTTCAAATGCGGCATCTCAGGAGATAACATTTGCAGGCGTCGGGATGGGAGAGTCATCGCTGTCTTCTCCAGGGTGATCCATGGTATGTTTTGGTTTTGTTGGAAAAGACCGTTCGGCATCAAACAAGTCTATGCATATTTTTGTATGTAGCAGATACCACAATATAGTTTGGTTTGTCAAGTTCCAATGCGCATGTCCACAATCAAACCAGCCGACTTGGTAGTGTAGTTGGAGGTTTGTTTTTTTGAATGTTTCATCCCAGCTTCAGTAATCCAATATGTTTATTTGCACCATCGCTGGAGCATCGCTACATGAAGAGTCGTTGAAGATCACATAATCACTCCAACATATTAAAAAAATGATTTGAAGGACTGGCATGGAGAGGGTTTGTAAACTACCTTGAAATCAAAGAACCCATCACTACAGGGCCCCTGATCATTTGATTCCTCTGAAAAATAGGATGTTCCAACCCTGCTTGCCTGAGGACTTTTGTTTGCTTTCCAGTGTGCCAGGGCTATAGTCCAACCATGTCCAACCCAATGTTCTTTCCCCCCAAGATCAAGTGGCTTATATTTGATGATACGTGTCATCAACCAACTTGTGTCAAACATTTTTTGCCGTCCTTAAACACCACTGCCGATCGGGCCATGCAATAAAGGTTGGTAGATACACTTGGGGTGATTGCAAATATCATGCTTCCGCACAATCCTAACACTAATAAGTAAATAAAGAAATAAGTAAATATATATATATATATGTATACATATTCTTTTTATTGTTTTGTATTGTATATGTATATTTATTTACATGCAATATTTTCATACGAACAATTTTCATCTATGATGCATGTGTTCATCGTGCGCATCACATATATTTTCATGTTTTGTAAATAAATAGATTAATTAAATGCATAGCTAAATGATAGGTCAATCAACATATGCAGATATCTGTGCATACATACACACAAACATGTTTTTTCCAGTATCTGAAGATATGTACTATGCATTGAATGATTTTCAGCCTTACCCCATCCATTGCCGGGGATATTCACCATGACGCAGCCACGGGGCCAGGGAATTGGCCCGTGAGTGCTCGACCTGTGTTAAATAAGGTGCAGCAGTGGGGAAGATCCAAAGAAGTGGTAAGCCCGGTACATGTATACACCGTAGGCTGTAAAATACATTTTTTCTGGATTCATTCAGGGTGAGCTTCCCAGCGGTGTGTTGGGTTGGGTTCCAATTGTGGTGACTAATGGGTATCAGCATGATTGTAATCCCGAGAAGCTGGGATAGAAGGCTTAAATTGTGGCCATATTTCATTTATTGGATGAAATTGCAACCAAGGTGACTGGGGTTGGCAACCAAACTGGCAAGTTTCTTGGGGAAAGCATGCTGATAAAGCATCAAATTTTGGGGTACACCATTTTCAGACAACCCCAAGTGCTAAGCTGCAAAGAACGGCAATGACCTGCACGCGTAGTTGTTGTAATGCCACGGATTGTTGTCGTTGTGGTCTCTGTAGTTAAAAAGTTTCCATGTTTTTTTTAAGTTCCTGAGGATCTCTAGATTTTATTGGAGTTGCCTCCTCCTTCCATCCATCCATCCATCCATCCATCCATCCTTCCTTCCTTCCTTCCTTCCTCCCTCTTTCGCCTCCTCCTCTTTCTTCTCCTCGGGCTCAACTGCGGGTTGCGGGTGTCAGTGCTACTGCCTGACCTCAACTGCGAGCTCCAGATCTCAGTGGGCGCTGCCCAATGAGATCTGGCGCTCGCGGTTGAGGTCCGGCAGTGCCCATGTCAGAGAAGATGTCAAAATAGATGCCAGATAGAATGCCAAAATGAATGCCTGAAGAGATGCCAGATAGTATGCCAGAATAGATGTCAGAATAGATGCCAGAATAGATGCCAGAATAGATGTCAGAATAGATGCCATAGATACGTCCAGATGTTGTGTCAGAACCCAGAAGAGTGTGTGAAGGTGGGGACCGCTCGTAGAAACTATTTTTGTGATGATTGCCATTATATCACATATCCACTACAATGATCCACTCCACATTTAATATTTTTGAAGTTCTGTGGATCATTCCTTTGCAATCCAGGCATATATATCATATCTGTGCGTCCCACCTTTTATCCTTTCTATATGGCCCATCCATGAACTTAGATGAATATACCAAACATGGAGTTCGTGGATCATTGCTACGAGGGTTTCTCAAATTTTGAGGCCCCTAAATCTCATGGTTTTGAACATGTTGCCTACAAGGGAAATTTGTGATACCCGATGAGATTTATTTAAAAAAAGTCCTTGGAAACAAATGCAAGTATATAAACCTCAATATGAAGTAAACCTAAATATGTGAAATATATGTTTTTTTTGTACACATACATCCATTTCCCATTTTATTTTCCACAGTAAATCCACCATGTGTGGGAGCATAAAACATTTTTGGATAAAGCCATTGGCAGATCAAAACGTCCAGGTCAGCCACGTCTATGTGATTTTTTTCGTGCTCTATATCACCCTGGCACCTCGAAGAATCGGGGCAGATTGACCAGCTATGGCCCTCAACACTTGTAATCGGCGAAAACAACTCATGAAAGTGATTTAAATATAAATATATATATATAACCGAAGCCACAGGACTTATCATCCCTTTTGTACCTATTAAGGGCCATCACTGTTTGGCCTTTGTTGGAGGCAAAATAGTGATATGATTCTGATGATCAACAACAGGGCCAAAAAAATGGATCCAGATGTATATCCAGGTTAATTCCGAGTAAACGTTCTATTTTTTGGCATGAAATGCCCATGAATTTCCACCGAAGTTTCCACCAGAAAGATTGTAAGTTGTGGGTTTTGTCGTAGTTGTTTTGGCTCGCCTGGTCCTTTTCGCCCTGAATTTCCTCGGCATGTCTTAGCTAAGGTCGTTTTTGCGGTGATTCGTGTCATTAGCGCTGTGTTTTTAAAGGCCCATGGGCGACTGGCATGGGGTGGCTTGACGATTTCCACCAGGATGTGCTGGTTGGTAGATTCAACCATTGCTTTACTTACTACTGTACTACACTATCCTTTTTCAAACATGTACTCCTACTTAAACAGTCGTTTGGTTTACATATATGTTTACAACCTTAACGGTAACATGTGGGGACGGGAATGTCCCAAGCTGTTCTTCTCTATGGAGGGGGGCATTCCTCATAGGGACACTCCTGGAACATTCCTTTTTTAAATTAATTCGAAATATTTCAAGTTCATTTCAAATAATGCAATTTCATTCCAAATAATCATGTTTCATTCCAAAAAATACTTTTTCGCTCATGGTTTTTTAAACGTCTTTTTTTCCAAATGATGATTTCAAGATGTGGTGTTTGTTTTTTTAATTATTTGATTTTTTTGTGTTTTTTGGAATTTTCTGATATTGTTTGATTTTTTTTGACTTGTTTGTTTTTTTTTCAAGTGTTTTCTGTTTTTTGTTTTTTCAACCTTTGTTGAATTTTGATTTTGATTGTGTGTTGATGTTTTTTGCTTTTTTTCGTTTTGTTTTTCTGTTTTTTGTCTATTTGTTTTGATGTTTTGATTTTGTTTCATTTTTTTGAATGTCGATCTTGATTGCTTGTTGTTTTTCTGATTGTTTGATTTCTGTTTGAATTTTTATTTTGATTGTTCGTTGTTTTTTCTGATTTGTTTTGAACTTTTTTGAATTGTTATTTTGATGTTTTTGATTTTTCGATTTTTCTTTCCATTGTTCGATTTTTTAAACTGTTTTAAATACTTCAATTTTTGTTTGCGTTGTTTGTGGAATTTGTCCCGTTTTTCCTGTTTCTTGGCTCTTGGCGTTTTTTTAATCGTTTTGGAATGCGTGGATTGTTTTTTTTCAGTTGTTTTTTTTGAAATTTTGAGATTTTTTCATTTTTTTTGCAAGGATCGCAACTTTTAGGAGTATCCCTTTGAGGAGTATCCCAGGGCTCTTTAATGATGTTTAGTTGAACTACCAGCTTATACCAGTAGTACTGCACAAGGCGGTGGCGGAAGTTTCAAAAATAGGAAACCTATAGGAGAGCTTGGTTGTTGTGAATCAGGGATGGCAGAGCGAAGCCACTGATGGACTGAAAGGTGCTTGATCTCTCTCTCTCTCTCTCTTTCTCTCTCTTTCTCTCTTTTTCTCTCGGTTTCTCTATCTTTCTCTGATTATCTACCTACCTACCTACTGATCTATCTATCTACCTGTCTATCTATCTGTTTGTCTATCTATCTCCCTATCTACCTATCATTCTATGCTATTCTATTCTGTTCTATTCTATTCTATTCTGTTCTATTCTATTCTATTCTATTCTATTCTATTCTATTCTATCTATTCTATCTATCTATCTATCTATCGATCGATCTATTCTATTCTATTCTATTTTATACTATTCTATTCTGTTCTATTCTATTCTATTCTATTCTATTCTATTCTATCTATCTCTCTATCTATCTATCTATCTATCTAGCTATCTACCTATGTATCTATCTATCTATGTATCTATCTATCTATCTATCTATCTATTTATCTATCTATCTATCTATGTATCTATCTATCTATCTATCTATCTATCTATCTATCTATCTATCTATCTATCTATCTATCTATCTATCTATCTATCTATCTATTCTATCTATTTTATCTATCTATCTATCTATCTATCCATCCATCCATCTATCTATCTAATCTATTCTAATCTAACTAGTCTATCGAAGCTAACCTAAGCGAATCTAAGCTAATCTAAGCCCTAAGCTAATCTAAGCTAATCTAAGCTAATCTAAGCTAATCTAAGCTAATCTAAGCTAATCTAATCTAATCCAATCTAATCTATCTATTCTATACTATACTATACTATTCTATTCTATTCTATGATATTCTAATCTAATTTAATCTGATCTAATCTAATCTATTCTATCTATTCTATCTATCTATCTATCTATCTATCTATGTTATCTATCTATCTATCTATCTATGTATCTATCTATCTATCTACCTATCTATCTATCTATCTAATCTATTCTAATCTATTCTAATCTATTCTAATCTAAGCTAATCTAATCTAAGCTAATCTAAGCTAATCTCAGCTAATCTAAGCTAATCTAAGCTAATCTAATCTAATCTAATCTCATCTATCTATCTATCTAATCTATTCTATTCTATTCTATTCTTTTCTATTCTATTCTATTCTATTCTATTCTAGTCTATTCTATTCTATTCTATCTATCTCTCTATCTATCTATCTTTCTATCTATCTATCTATGTATGTATCTATCTATCTATCTATCTATCTATCTATGTATCTATCTATCTATCTACCTACCTATCTATCTATCTAATCTATTCTAATCTATTCTAATCTATTCTAATCTTTTCTAATCTAATCTAAGCTAATCTAATCTAATCTAAGCTAATCTAAGCTAATCTAATCTAATCTAATCTCATCTATCTATCTATCTAATCTAATCTATTCTATCTAATCTAATCTATTCTATTCTATTCGGTTCTATTCTTTTCTATTCCATTCTATTCAATTCTATTCTATTCTATTCTATCTATTCTATCTATTCTATCTATTCTATCTATGTATCTATCTATCTATCTATGTATCTATCTATCTGTCTATCTATCTATCTATCTGTCTGTCTGTCTGTCTATCTATCTATCTCTCTATCTCTCTATCTCTCTCTCTCTCTCTGTCTATCTATCTATCTATCTATCTATCTGCAAGTTCAAAAACGAAGAAATTCTGCGAGAGTTCCTTAATTTTTGAGCATAACAACGTCCAAAAGGAAACAATTCTGCGAGACGTCTTCATTTCTTGAACTTGACAACATCCGAAACGAAGCAATTCTGCGAGACTTCTTCAATTTTTGAACTTGACAACCTCCAAAACGAAGCAATTCTGCGAGACTTCCTTCAAAAATGGAAAGTTGAGTGCAGAGCTGACAGCCTCGTACCAATGCGTTTTGCGATTTTTCCAGTCCACCTGTCTAAAGTACTGCGCCTGCCACGAAAAATTGATGCGATCACGCAAAACCATCTTAGCAAACCTACACATCTGATACTCCAAAATGCAACCCGTCTCAGGAAATCAGCGCCCTGACGTCCTAACATCTCTCATGAACATGTCTTTTGTACTGCGCCGGCCACGGAAAATGCATCTTTGCAGTTCCTCTTATGTCCCATGCCTGCCATCGTTTTTGGAAATGCTACAAAACCCTCACGTTTT